TTTAGAAATATTCTACGACCCTATATATCAATAACTGAGAACAAAGATTTAATAAGCACGAATACTAATAAGGAGAAAATGAAGGCTTGGAGCGATATAACAGAGAAGTAAACATTTTAATAAGTACCTGCATCTCAAAAAAATGACCACATTATTTAATCAAAACATCAGATTTAATCTAGCAAATATAAGGACAAGAGACAAAAAACAATTGATGAATAGTGGAAGTGCACTAAATTGAATACAAAAAAAGAGTTGTCATCTTATGCGTGAACATAAAAACTGGAGGTGGAACAAAGCCACCATCACCTTCTCGAGACACAATGGTTTGAAGTAGATTTCAATGAATTTGATTGTGATGGTGTGAGGTAGGAATGTTAATTATAAATATGATGTATGGTGATGTTAAGGTTCAACCTTTCAAGATAGGATATGCTTACAACATTACTTTATTCCCCTACAGGGTAGTTAGAGATATTGTAATACCTCAAAACATCCATGTTGACTTGTAGTACCGAAACTTTTGAGAAGTGAGCCCATTCCCACTTATAATGGAAGTGGGTATAATACACCTTAATACCTGAGTGGAACCACTCACCATGATATTAAATTAATAGATGTTATTTATATATTTCAGGTTATTACAAATAAAATCATTTTGGAAACAATTGATATCCCAAAAGCAAATAAAGCCAACAATGACAAGGTAATAAATCAGTTTTGACATAACTTGAATATAAAAAGCCAAACAAAGGTGTGACAACAGTGACAACATAACTTAACAATTTCATTATTTTGTAGGATTAAAGAAAGGTTAAAGAAAATCATGTCGAACTGAACAACAAGAATCCCCAAACAACTCCAAAGAAACCTACAAGGAAGACACCGGTATTATATTTAAATTATCTCTATCTCTAAATAGAATAAAAGAAAGTTGTATAGGTTGTAGATGTGCTACAAATTATATTATTAACACATTTATATAATTATATTAATATAAATGTGTTAAAAAATTTATAATATGAATTATAAAAAATTTTAAGTTTTGATGGACAAGCTTAAATTAATATTCTTTATTTGTTGAGAAAGAAGTAGTTTTAGAAGCTTTAATCCACAACAAGTAATGATTAATTTAAAATTACAAACCGAAATTCTATAAGACATTAGAGTACTTAAAAATAAATAGTATAATGAAATAAAAATGTTTTAAAGATAAATAGTGTTTTATTTGTTTAATGTAAGAGAATAATAATAAATATTTATTTAATTAATTTTTCAAATGTAAACTGAATTTATTACTTAATGACTCCTTTTCAGTCTTTATTATTTAATTGTAATTAATTATTTGATGAATAAAAAATTTTTAATAATGCCAAAGAAGTAATCATAAGTACACGACCCTATTTATGCTTCTAATAAAATGTCAAAACAAGAAAAATGAATTCAAATAGGTTAGATCCAGACAGATTGTCAAGCTTGGAACATCAGACCTTGGTGTTTCTAGCCTGACCTGTGTGCTTTAGAAAATAATAAAATATGTGTCGTTGCAACATGAGTACCTACATTCAGGTTGGCTTAGAATATCAATGACAAATATAAAAAGCAAAAGTTCAAGTCCACCTCTTCAAAGCCACACTAAATCCTTAAAAGAACGAACCGTGAATTCATTCATGAATCAGTATAAACACATTTATATTCTGATTTAATACCGCCTACGCTTTCTCAAAAATATTCAACTGGCAATTTCGCAAATTCATAATTTGCCACCTATTGAGCTGATGGGTTTTTGGCAAATTTGTTATTAACATAATTCGATATAAAATGTCAACGTGAAATTGTTTTCAAAATATTTGACATTATTATTAATAGGAAAGTGTGTAACTCGCCTTTTATTCTCTCCTTCGATAATTGTATACATTATGTATACAAATCAATCCAAATTCTTTGGGTTACGGTACGGTAATGTTTTATATTTTCAAACTCAAAAACCAACAACTAATTTTTTTTTAAATATCACAGACTAAACATAATTTGACAGTTATAGACGAATTAATACCGTACCTACATCAAATAATAATATGACCGCTTACTTAGATTCTCACTATACTTCAAACAAGTTCTCAAATCGACATTATTCGTAATTTTTAACTTTAAAAACGTCTCCTTTATCTATATATGTGAAAGAGCATATTCTTCACATAGTCTCATAGTATAATAAATACCATTCACAACCATATTTGCACAAGGCATAGGTAATGAACATATCCATTGAAAGCCACACAACTCGCACCACAGACTATCGAAACTGGATTAACTGCATGTTATGATTGAAGATAGTGTCAGGCTGCGTTCTTTGTGTACTAGATATGTATACACTTAGTAATAATATAATAATTATTATATATAAATTAATATTTATGTAAAAACCATAAATCAGTCTTACAACTATTTAAATTCAAAATTCTTCAAAAAATTCAATAGCAAGTTAAATTTTTAACAGATATTGGAGCCCTTGAACTTAGTCTAGGGAGACCTGTACATTAGGGTACTCCGCTCTTCCAATGGTGTAACGAAATAGTAACTTTACAATAATTGAAATCAAAATACTATGTTATATATAAGTTATAATATAGAAGTTTTTTGTATATACATTATACGATATAAAAATGTCTCAAATCATAAGTTTTTGTTTACTTCGGACCCCGATGTGAAAAAAATACACTACCGAAAAGTAAACCTGTATAGCCTAGTTGCGTTTGATCCACGACTTTTTGGCCATTCTGTATAAACACAGACATAACATTATATTAATATCTATTAATTAACAGTTAAGTTAAAATTAGTTTCAAGTTTAAATTGATGTCTAATTTATTAAACAACATTAAAATAGCGGCGTCAGAACATCCATTTAAAAAAACATTAAGATAGTTTGATTATCCTCCCACATTGAGCACATGCCTAGCGCCAGGTGGTAAATTCAAAGTTAACTGAATTCGGTAACTAATTTGAATGGTATATTTATTTAATTTCCTTTTAAATTAGAAATCGGATTTTACGACTCAAATTATATTTTAAAATAATAATTATTTGGGTTTTATTTGCGATCAAAATACCTATAGGTACACAGCCGGTTGATCATAAGTGTCTGATCTGAAAGCCTTAAGAAAAAAATATATTTACGCCCCATAATATACTATACATACTTTTATACTATATCTTGATATACATACCTACAAAGTTTTACGAACGATAAAAAAAGCGTGTAAACTTGCCCCGTCTGATGGTGTGGTAGATTTATTTTTATAGAACAGGGGGCAAACGGGCAGCAGGCTCACCTGATGTTAAGTGATAACATGGCCAGAGGGTTTGCAAGTGCGTCGCCGGCTTTTTAAGAATTGGTACGCTCTTTTATTGTAGGACCCTAAGTCGAATATTATCGATAAATTATTTTAATATATTTGGAATGTTTTCAGCGAGAAAGTTCATTCAGATGTGTTGGTAAAAGGCAATGCCTAAATCTATTATATTATGGTTAATACCTGGCAACTACTGTTATAATCTCTTTTGTCTCTTAATGATTATTAGCGAGTGAGAGAGAGCGAAAGCCAGCCCTACCGTTTGCTAAACCGCGATTCAATTTCAGACAAAATCTAAAAAGTATGAGTACTGGCAATGGTACTACGGCACGCTAACGGCCTTCTATTTTACCTTACTGTTCTCTATCTATTCCGTGGCTATTAGGACTGCTTATCATTATCACGATGTAATCAAGACATAGCCTTATAAAGTACACACACAGCGGCAGACACACTTTTCCCCCCTTATTGATAGCAAGCTTACATCCTAATGCTTCTCTAAGAAATGAACGTAAGACCTTTATACTTAATTTGCGTTAACCACTAAGTTACCATCTTATCGTAACCACACGAATTTTGATAAGATTAAATTAGACACCACTACAAACTATGTTTCTCATATATAAAATTTCTTTTGTCGCCTAAATCTGTAAAAAGGTTTATAACGAATAAAACCTCTTTGATGACCTCGAAGTTTTTTACCAATTTTAAATTTATTCTATTCAATAACATCAATTTATTTGACATTAACCCCTCCCGTCGTGAAGATAATTGAATAGAAATTATGATCATTGACATCCAATAATTACGTACATTTAATTAATTCATACATTATAATTGGATCGTTATAACTGTCCACTCCACGCGTGTCGTGTTCGATCTGTTAATTATTTAAATTTTATATATAAACAATATTATAAACAGAGGTTTTTATATGCGATTTAACTACCTATATTGAGACCCGTCCAAGAGGCATTGGACAAATACATTTCTGCGTATATTACGATTATTAAATCATTCTTTATGGGGGTTCGTTATTGTTTTCTTTGCCATACGTGTAGGTGCTATTTGCTCTTAAATGTATAAATGTACAACCGGGGTCTGAATGAACAATCTTAGAGTTTTATCACCTTAACCAAAGTAAACTCTGCCTAAACCAACTATTTAATCACCTTAAAAACATAAAAAAATATATATTTGAATATAAAATTTTGTGATCATACAAATAATTATTAATTTAAATATGTATTTCTGTATGCACATATACAGCCTATTATTAGAAGCGTCCAATGAAAACACCACATGGCACGAATTGAATAAATGAAACCTTAAAAATCCCAAACAGAATGAGAATCAATTTGCCGTTAATGCTACCTGGCTCTTGCCTGATAAACCCGAGGTCGGGGCAGTGCGCCGACGCAAGTCGTAACGAACGCGCGTGTTTGCTGCTCTTATTTCTGACCTTATAAATGACCTTTCAAAACATTCCGTGACTTGAGTTGTATTAGTGATTTGTGTTTAATTGATTTGAACTTTGGACTGGATAATTTTATTAAGTATAATAATTGAATGCGACGCCAGAAGCCGAGGATTTTGCATTTGTGTAAAGTGTAAACTGGCGTTTATTTATTTTGGTTTAATCTAATGTATCTCAAAATGTATATAAAATCGGAGAGATTCTACCAACAGCCGGAAAATCAGGCTTTGAAGGAGGAAAAATGTTTTTCGGATTTCGATGAGGATTTTGATGACCGTAAGTACACTGCAAATTGCAACAACTTTTAGTTAATGTATTTTAATAATGATCTAGGTAATTAATAAATAAATCTCTTATATATACATTAAAAAATCTCTATTCTGCATGTATTTAGTGAATAACAGGTGCAAAATCTAAATGTGTGATATAGATATTATATAATCAGTAACCAAAAGAATCGCTTACAAAGTGTACGTGTAATGTGTCTTCATTAAAAATATCAACAAAACGTACAGTAATAACAAAAACCAAACTATAGTAAATATCTTTAAGATGTCTATTAATATCTTAATGTTTTAATTTAATATTTTTGTATGTACCCGTCGGACCCAACGTTTTGTTTGTTTAGTTGTATTTAACAATATTATTGTGTAAAATATACGTAGTGTATATAAATGTGAATGTAAAAATTATTTTAACAAAACATTTACATTTTCTTTACAAAATGTTCTACAAAATGAATTTCCGGATTGACAGCGTTTAATAATAAATATTTTATATAAAGGCTGTTTTTGTTTGTAAATTCTTAATCAAAAATAAAAGGGAGCATAGCGCGTTGAGATCTTTTCTACTACGGTAAATTCGCATGGCTAACAATGTGGTATACTGTGTTCTTATAACATACATTATTTTAATCACTAAACAAATAAAAGCTTTTAATTTGAATACCCAAGTAAAGTGAAAATCGATATTATAAGTTTGAATTATTATCCTTATTTCTTTTTTGAAATATTTATTAAAATTTTCTACAGACTTCGTGATTGAATTGCAAGTATAGGTAGCGGTAGGTAAAAGGCAAGTGTAATAATTAAAAAGGTTTAGTCGGGCATAATTACAAAAAGGATCTATTTGGGACATATTTCAGGTACCCCAAATGTCTAACAAAAGGGAATTAAGGTGCGGCTCATTTTGATGACCGCTATGTAAAAAATATAAGTAAAGGATAATTCCTTAAAGCTTTACTATTGTAGAGGATTAAAAATAATTATATAGTTCTACATTCCATAAGATTTTCTAGTTTCTATTTTTAAATTTGTTTTAAAATCAAGGTAGCCTATTCAGTGGTACTTGGAGCACTATATCTTGCCACAGTTTAAAGTCAAAAGTTATTTCGGTTGATAATAAACACGTCTATATTTAGCCGCGGCAACTGTAGTCAGTTCTTAACTAAAACACGTAGGCCCTAGGTGTAATTTAGTATTTATTATGTCAACAAATACTATATCTGAAAATATAACAAAAACAGAAGAAGATACTGCTTGTGATTTAATATTAATATACCATGATCCCTGCATCAACAGTATTGAGTTTTTTTGTTAATTAATTATGCACTTCTTGTACTTTATCCTCTGTAGGTGTTTCTTTTTTTATTGTTCCATATTAGGGTTGCCTGGAAGAAATCGCTTGTTAGCGATAAGGCCGCCCGTTGTCTAATAACTTTACTGTAACCTGCTTTTTTTGTTTTTTTTATATGTATGATTTTGTATATGGTAACGAAGTGTAAATAAATAAAATATTTGTTATCTTTAGAAGGCATTAATAACGCTTATTACCCATTTTCCGATAGGTGACACTGTGTACTCCATTCTTTATAGTCTCTTTCAAGTAAATAGTTTGTACAACGCCAAAACAATTAATTTCTGATGGAATAAGATTAATAATTTAACTAGAGGTAAGCTGACCAATTGATAAATAAAATTTATCAAAGTTCACACAATGTTAGTCCTTATATGTGAAATCGCAGGCGTCAGCTAACATAATAAATTTCTTAACTTTCACCAAATGCTATTGGCAATCGGCTTTTTAGTCGCGTTAAAAATGTAATTATTACTTACATAAGTCATGGTAATTGTGTTAACGAGGCAATTATATTTCTAGTTTAAATGACAATTTCCCATTATATATAATTATGCAATATCTTGTTTATTAATTAGTATATAATTGCCTTTAAAAATACAACATGTTTTATCAATTTTGATGGCTTTAATAACAGTTTTAAATCTAAATTCTATCGCGATAAACTAGATATAACTTGGAATATTTAACCTAAGGTTACATTAATATACAGTCCATAAAATTAAAGAAACAAAAAATATCAATTTGTAAAACACCTTTGACCAAAAATGTGACATTGGTCTCCAGCCTTAACCCATGACTTTGCCCCTGTAATAAATTAAATATTTCATCGGACAAAAACTTCGAAATAAAATTTTATCTACCTGCTTTTATGAGAATTTTTCTGATAACAAATATTTTATGACCATCGCCGTTTCTGAGATTTCTCCTCTGGTAACATTTATAGAATTTAGTATTTGGTTTAAATTCTCATAGTTCTATTATCAATAAAGTAAAACTAGATTTTGCAACATACGTATCTATATATGCATACAAATATGGTTATAATTTTATTGCAATTAACTTATTATGGAAGAAAGGTTTCCCGTAAACGTACCTGCAGAATGTAATTAAACATGCATTTATTCTTCAAATATTTACAAATCACTGAACCCGAGTACACTTCCCATACAATATGCGCTTTTCAACAAAAAACCACCCTTATTTCTCTAATTTCACTGGTTTTACCCTCATGCACTTTGTGACGGTGCTTTTCACATACAAAACAACATTGTTAATTATCTAAAATGAACCGTATGGCCACGTAATACGTACGCATTTGTTTAGCAAAAGTAAAGGAGTTTTGCAAAAAATTAAAAGCCTGCAATTCTGGGAAGTTGCCCCTATTTACCTGACCGAAGAAAAAAATGCAGGTAAACCTGACCTGTAGTTAAAGGTTTTTACAAAGGGCAGGAAATCGACACAATAGGGATCGGTCACGATTGTGTGAGGCAAATAGTTAAATAGGTTTAGTGTCGAAGTGCGTATCCTTCGAACAATAGTGTACATTGAATTTTAGAAATGTCAGAATTTTGCATTGTAATGAAAACGTGCATACTTGTTCGTAATTGAAGTTTTGTATAGAAATGGTTATACTTAAGAATTACTGATAAGTGATAACCTTACCGACGGCAAATTGAAATGTTTTAAGATTCATAATACAAATGTATTAAATAAACGAGTTTGACTCATGCTTCAGAATATGACGCTATTCAATAATATTAATTATAACAATTTTGTTGCACAAATTTATTATATTGATGCTGTCACGTGTTTAAAAATATATACCTACTCGTAGTCTAATATAATATAAATGTATAACTATTTATTTTCTTCAGGAATAACGGTATATGTTAGTGCTTTAAAATATCCAAAATTTATCTATACTAAATGGGACTAATAAGTCTCCTATAGTATCTCGAATTATATTTAGCTCAATTGAATCAGTTTTAAATATTTATATCAATTAAGGAATAAATAAAAACAGACGCGTGGGTTCAAAGTTCTTGTGAAACCAGTTGACGAATAATTTGCATAAATCGTCATCATTTTTGGTTGGATCGCATTAAAATTGGTAAATTATTCGTATCTGCAGTCAAGGTTGAGGTCTGGGTGAAGGTGATGGGTGAGAGAGGTCGTGGGATGCACGTTGATTCACCGGAGGCTTGTCACCTCTGACATTTAAATACGATGACTCTTATCGAATGAATTATGCGGACGTGTCGAGTCGAAAGATTTTTATTTCGCCACTCGTAAATAGAGCATTTTTATAGGCTCTGGTCAAGCTATGTTCTATCCAAAGATAAATTTGAGTTGCGTAAAGATTAATTAAAAAATATTTAAAATGTCAACAAGGCAATAAGCTTATTTATTTGCCAATCTTTACGCTTACTGAGAATCGTTATATTATTTCTTTGTCATCAAAAGTTATTTATAATTCCAGTGAAGGGGTTGATTCCACGAAACTTTGGGAACATCGGGACCTCGAACTCACTTACATAATTAGTACTTCCAAAATACATAACAAGATGTACTTAAATATTGACTAGGCACACAAAACACCTGCTTAAAACGTTTAACAGTTAACGTGTATGGAACCCGTATGGAACAAAGCGATGTATTGACAAATATTGGTCTTTGTGGAGGTGACCTCTCTTCGACCTCTTCCGCGGACGATGACAACTTAGGCCGGCTTGGAAAACAAATATTGTTTTGCTTTAATCGTTTTATTTTAGTAAATCTAAGGTTATCTAAAATACGATAAGTTTTAGTCCTATTACTATACACGGAAACGAAACAGACGATAAAATAATGTAGCTAATAATAATGTGTAGTGGCTAGATTCAAAAGCATTATTAGACACTAGTAGACTTTAAACTAAAGAAACGTCATTACTAAAAGTAAGCAAATTGAGATACAAAGATGAGGCCAGATAAGGGTACAATTTTATTATATTGCGATATCTTCATATATTTTTGCAAATCATCAGAATCCGTCAGATTTTTGCATTAAGTACCAGGCTCGGAGCACTTATGACGTATTTCTTGATTGACCGTCGTTAGGTCGACGCAGGTGGTTGGGTACTAGGCAAACATAAACACAGTGTGTTTGCTCACGGCTCCGGGCAAACAGGTGGGATGCGATTGAAATAGTTGGTAATTGAACACGTTTCTGTGATTTGATATGCCTTAAAAATATATTCGTAATTGCAGATGTTATTTTACGAAGTGAGAGAAAACAATTCAAGACATTACTTAGGTTATCTTGAGAGACATAATTGCAATTTTTTCATCGTCGGATATAACTTTATACTTAGAAAAAAATATTAAAAATTCAAATTGAATTCTAAATTCAAATTTATGTAATTTGCGTTCCTTTGTGTTCTTTGCAGCCACGTTATACAGACACGGGATCATCTAAAATACATTTTTGAACCAGTCAATTACAAACCTTTGACTACCGCTTTGCACCTGTTCGGATGATCAGGTCTTGGGGGGTCAGGTGGTAAATGCGCCTACGCACGCTCGCGTGGCTCAGAGTACACAGAGAGTGCTTTTTGTTGATTTTTCTATTAAGAGTCGAGTGGCAGCTAGTGTTTGCTG